TCTCTGTTCTTTCAGAATCAACATTTTTTTTATGGGACACCATGCTACAAAATACCCCACAAATGCAGCCCATTGATTGCAAACAAGATTTGTTAACTTGCAAACACAAAAAAGTATTTTTCCTAACAAATTAATTTAAGACCATACTGCAAAAATGAATACACCCCAGTGAAAGTCTTAGGAGCAAAGCTAAATTATAGACAACAAAATCCTAATTAACAAGAATTCATCTACAGGTGAGTCTAATTATTCATTAACCACTTGCCTACCAGGCACTTTTACCCCCTTTCTGCCCAGGCCAATTTTCAGCTTTCAGTGCTGTCGCACTTTGAATGACAATTGCGTGGTCATTCTATATTGTACCCATATGAAATGTTTATCATTTGTTCACACAAATAGAGTTTTCTTTTGGTGGTATTTAATCACCACTTGTTTTTTTATTTTTACTCTAAACTAAAAAAGAGCGCAAAATTTTGAAAAATAAATGTTTTTCTTTGTTTCTATTATAAAATTACCTGCAAACAGGTAATTTTTCTCCTTCACTGATGTGCGGTTCTTGTTTTCTTGATAGGCGGCACTAACGGGCACAGATTGGCAGCACTGATGGGCAGCACTACTGGGCACTAATGGGCATCACTGTTGGGCACTTTTGGGGCTGTACTGATAATCAGGACACTGATAACCAGTGCCCTGATTATCAGTGCAGAAGTCTTATTTGACAGTTGCCGGTTATCAGCAGTACTTTCCTCACGCTGTGCCAATAACCGGCAAGTGTATTTACATGGTGGTCAGCTGTGATTGGACACAGCTGATCACATGGTAAAAGGCTGCTGTGAATTGCCTTTTACCATGTCATGTGCTCAGCTGTGTGCAATCAGACAGCGCCGAGGGCGCACCACTGGGAGTGGGGGGGGGGGGGGTGCGTTATGGAAGGACACCCTCCCAGAACTGGACAACCGCGCTGTAGCCGTCATTTGGCTATAGCACGGTAAGGAAGTGGTTAAACAGGTGTACAGCAGACAGTTGATTATAAAAGAGAGTTATTTAACAAAGATAACCCCTTCCCATTTCATGCTGTCAGCAATGGCACCACATAGAAGAGAAATGTTACAAGGCTTGGTGAAGGCCTTGAAGCACCTTCAAGCCCTTCACCAAGCCTTGTAACATTTCTCAAGATCAGTAATGCTTTACTTATCAGTCAGAATACTGTAGCAAAAGTGATACAAAAATTTAACAAAGATGGAACTGCAAACATCTCACAGAGACATCCATTTTCTGATGAGAAGGGTTGAAGTTGAAGCTAAAGAAGTAGAAAGCCAAACTGGGGTGATTTTTTTTTCCCATCACACAATACGGCATACACTGAAGACGAATGACATGCATGGGTATCGTCCACGAAGGAAGCCTCTCCTAAACTGGGACTCTGTACTCTGAAGCGATGAGACAAAGGTAAATGTTTTTGGAACTGATGGCTTCAAAACTGTATGGAGTCGCAAAGGTGAGGAGTACAAAAAAAATGCATGGTGCCTACAGTGAAACATGGTGGTGGCAGTGTACTTCTGTGGGGCTGCATGAGTGCTGCTGGTGTTGGGGAGCTGCATTTCATTGATGATATTATGAATTCACAGATGTATTGCTCTGAAAAAGAAGATGCGACCATCACTCTGTGCCCTTGGTCATTGTGCACTTTTCCAACATGACAATGATCCAAAACATCAAAGGCCACTGTTGCATTTCTGAAGAAGAACAGGGTGAGAGTGATTCAGTGGCCAAGTATGTCTCCTGTTCTGAACCCAATTGAACACCTATGGGGAATTCTGAAGAGACAAGTTGAGCATCACTCTCCATCCAGTATCCAGGCTCTAAAAGAGGTCGTTCATGAAGAATAGAAAAAGATAGACGTTATAATATGTCACCAAATTGTTCATTCCATGCCTAATAGACTTGGTGCTGTCCTTACAAATCATGGAGGTCCTACAAAATACTAGATGTAGTCATTTTTGTTGTGGGGTATATTGGTTTTTGCATCAACTAATTTAAATAACACTGAAGATTTTGTAATCTAAGTTATATTATTAACCTTACTTTTATGTAATGAGCTAAACAAATGTTCTATAAAACTCAGTTTTGTCAAAATGTGGGAAATTGTTCTTGTGTCCATTGAGATGTTGATGAAAATCTTACTTATCAAAAGGGGTGTACTCAGTTATGCCGAGCACTGTATATGATTTCTAGTTAAATTAGTGTTGCGCTCTTTAAATGTTACAATATATCAGGGAATGTGATTTTATCATGTATTAACATACAAAAGTGATTCACAATCACAAACTTAAATATATATAAATAGTGCACCACAATTATGTGTCAATGTAAAGTTTATGTAAACAATATGAAAGTCCTGCCCCACGCAAACTCCATGCAGCAAAAGCCTTCCAGCATCCAGTGCTCCCTCACTAAAGTGCAAGCCAACTGCTTACCGGATGCATATGACCTCCCATATATTGAGGTCTCCAGTGCTTATAGTAATATCATGCAATAAGGGCACAGTATAGATCAGGGGTGGGCAAACTTTTTGACTTGAGGGCCGCAATGGGTTCATATATTGGACCCGGCGGCCGGACCAAGAGTAGATGAATGATGTGTATGTGTGAATTAATATAAATTAAATTAAAATTTGTAACATTAAATGTTTAGATTAATTTAAGGTAGAAAAGCATAAAAAGAGTTATTTTACAAAACTTTTATGCAATGTATTTCTTTCATAAAATAGTGCCTTCAATTTTAGTGGGAACAGTGTTGTTGGTCTCCCTTTTTTGTTAAGGCATCAAAGTCAGGAGTTAATTTTGTTGTTGCAATTCGCAGAATAGATCTGAGGTGTTGGTCAGTTAACTGGGATCTGTGACGGGATTTATTGATGTTCATGACGCTGAACGTCTGCTCACACAAATAGTAAGCCAAGTCCCCCCTGTGTCAATTTACTTACCTTTGCTCCGCGCGTTCCTCTCGCCGTGTTCCCGCGCCGTTCCGGTCTTCAGGGCGGACTGTGAGAGGAGCCTAGCTCCCCTCACGTTCGTCACGCTGCCCCGCCTACACACATCCTGACAGCCAATGTTTGCCTGCCCTGGCTGGTTTTTTTTTTTATCACGCTCCGTGGGCCGGATTAAAAGGTCCGCCGGGCCGTATACGGGTAATGGGGAATGTGGAAGAAGGGGAGGATCAGAGAAGACAGGATCAAACATCCTTTTTACACAATGCATAGGATTAACCCCTTAGGTTCCACAGTGAGTATAACAAGCATGCTTTACTGCATATACAGACTGATCTTACTGTTGTGGGTTTAGTAAGACTTTAAAGGTCTACCTATTCCAAATATCAGTCAGTGTCATCTAGTGGGTCTTGACTGAATTACAATTCCCACTGTTGGTATATATTGCACTAAGAATATCTATAAAATGTATAAAGGAAAAAGAGAAGAAAGACCCCCTCTTTGTTTATCATATACAGTATATGGCAAGTAATTACACATCATATAATATCTTAGAAATAAATGGATAACATAAATTTAAATATTAAAAAACAATCTACAGCTAAAAAAAAGATATAACATTGACTATTGTTAATAAAACAATTCAGATCCCATTCAATGTTTAACCCAAAAAGACAGTACCGTATTTGCCGGCGTATAAGACGACTTTTTGACCCTTGAAAATCTTCTCAAAAGTCGGGGGTCGTCTTATACGCCGGTACACATGTTTAGGGGGGCTGTGGCATTAAATACAGGGGTTTGCAGGGGCTGATGTCTCTTACCTGGATCCAGTCCCACGACGATCCGGTCCAGGAAGCGCGGCGTCTCCTTCAGTTCGGCCACTGGATGTTCATGCGGCTGCTCGGGTCCGCCTCCTCACCGGTGATTGGCCGCCAGAACTGTAGCTCAGGAAAGGCACACAGGCAGCCAATCACCGGCGAGGGGGCGGAGCCGAGCGGCCCCGCGAAAATTGAGTGCCGGAGCAGCAGGTAAGTGTTCTGTGTAGAGGTGCTGCTGCAACCACATATGCTGGCTGCAGCAGCACCATACGAGAACAGGGTCAGCAAGTCTCAGTGGGAGGAATAGTGCCCCATCATTGGTGTCACAGATACCAATGATGGGGCACTATTCCTCCCACTGACACCAACGATGGGGCACTATTCCTCCCCCCCACTGACACCAATGATGGGGCACTATTCCCCCCCCCCACTGACACCAACGATGGGGCACTATTCCACCCCCCACTGACACCAATGATGGGGCACTATTCCTCCCCCCACTGACACCAATGATGGGGCACTATTCCTCCCACTGACACCAATGATGGGACACCATTCCTCCCACTGACATCAATGATGGGGCACTGTTCCTCCCACTGACACCAATGATGGAGCACTATTCCTCCACTGATACTAATGATAGGGCACTATTCCTGCCACTAATGCCAATGATGGGGCACTATTCCTGCCACTAATACCAATGATGGGGCACTATTCCTCCCACTGACATCAATGATGGGGCACTATTCCTCCCACTGACACCGATGATGGGGCACTATTCCTCCCACTGGTGTGCATTGGAAGAGGGGTAGTCTTATACGGCGAGTATAGCCCAAACACTACATTTTAGCAGGAAAAGTAGGGGGGTCGTCTTATACGCTCAGTCGTCTTATACGCCGGCAAATACGGTATGTCTTCACTTCACGTAAATCCACTGGATTTTTAATTGCGAAATTTCCCTTCTATTATTATTTGCCACGCCAATGGGGAAGAAAGGTATCAATTCCTGCTAGTTTTAGACCCATCGGTTCTTTGTCATGGTGGAGGCATAGTGTCTGGACACTGTCTACAGGAACCCTTTTGTATTTAGGCTACATATTCAGATTATATATATTATATAGGCTACATATTTGGATATCAGATTGCCAGACAGAGAAGCGGGATTGGTCACTCCAGAGAACACGTCTTCACTGCTCTAGAGTCCAGTGGTGGCGTACTTTACACCACTGCATATGACGCTTTGCATTGCACTTGGTGATGTAAGGCTTGGATGCAGCTGCTCGGCCATGGAAACCCATTCTATGAAGATCCCTATGCACTGTTGTTGTGCTAATATGAAAGCCACATGAAGTTTGGAGGTGTTTAGCTATTGACTCTGCAGACAGTTGGTGACTTCTGCTCATTGTGCGCTTCAGCATGCGCTGACCCCACTCTGTCATTTTACGTGGCATAACACTTTGCGGCTGAGTTGCTGTTGTTCCCAGTTGCTTCCACTTTGTTATAATACCACTAACAGTTGACCGTGGAATATTTAGTAGCAAGAAAATTTCATGGATGGACTTTTTGCTCAGGTGACAACCTATCACGGTACCACGCTTGAAGTCACCGAGCTCCTGAGAGTGACCCATTCTTTCACAAATGTTTGTAGAAGCAGTCTGCATGCCTAGGTGCTTTATTTTATACACCTGTGGCCATTGAGGTGATTGGAACACCTGAATCCAATGATTTGTAAGGGGGTCCCAATATGTTTTGGCAATATAGTGCATATAGCACTGTGAACTATAGGAAGGGCAAGCAAGACACTGGCCTTCCTACTCACAAATTGTAGCACCACCACTGCATGCTTACAGACCACTATTCTTTCTGATAAAAAGTATGAGGTATTATCACAACAGCTTGTACAACAACCTGACATAAAGTCTGCTTTGTTTTCACAAGCCTGCTATTTCAATGGGGCCTTTTCTTGAAATATTCCGATAGTTAACAAACCTGAATGTGAGCCGACCGGCTCTGCTGTTTCTTCTTTTGAATGATAGAAGGGTCAGTGGACGCATTGTTCTGTGAAACATGTAACTTGGACCCTGCTCCTCTAGAGAGAAGAAGAACCGGCTTTGTGACATTAGCAGGTGTGACTGATTGGAAGACTTGGTGATGTCACATCCTCTCTGTCAACTTAGTACAATAACTAGATTATATTGGAAGGCTTTCAGCATGCCCTACAAACCTTACCATTCAAATTTGACATTCCTTTCCAACAAAAAGAATACACATCCTACCTGACAATTTCTAACTGGCCTAACAGTATCTCAGAATTGCACATTAGTCATACATGTGAAAAGACAATAAATAAATGAACTATGGTAAACACATTGGGGGGAGTGTTACTAAAACTGGAGCGTGAAAAAAAAAACTGGTGCAACTCTGCATAGAAACTAATCAGCTTCCCGGTTTAATTATCAAAGCTTAATTGAACAAGCTGAAGTTAGAAGCTGATTGGCTGCCATATACAGCTGCACCAGATTCTGATTGCTACAGTTTTAGTAAATCTACCCCATTGATGGTTTCTATTCACAGCTGCAAGGTTTGAATAGAACAACAACAGGTGAGTTTTCTTGTTGGAAGGTGCATGCTAACTGTGCTACTGAGAAACTTATGCAGGCCATACATGGCTCAAATTCCAAAATAATTCTCTTAACCGTAACCAAGAATTTCACACCATTAGTGGGTCACATCATTGGCTGATTTTTGTGCGGCCATTGAATTTGAGTGATGCGGCATGTTGCAAAGTTTTTTAAAAATGGGCTAATTTGTAATCAGTGATGGGAGAATCGTTCAAGAAATATAATCAAAAAAGAAATGAACATGAACTGTGACCTGAAAAGACACGAACATTGAAGGCTTAATTGGTCAAAATTTCGACATTAATGTTGGCACCATCGGATTAAAAAATGCACAAAATTTCAGATTTTCTAAAGAAAATTTTTTCAGAATTCGACCCATGTATGGCCTGCATAAGGCTTCATATATACAGTGATACATAGTATTGTTCTGTACATGTGTATATTAAAACCAAAATCCAAGCATGATCTTTATTCCATTTTGGACCCATGTAAGTTTATATATTTCATACCTGATGGACCACTGAGGAAGCTGACAATCACAATAGTAGTCGGTGCTACTACAATGATGGTCATGATCTTCTTGGTCTTGTGTGGAGTGGCTTATTCTTTGCACACTGACCACAGGGGATGCATTGCTCCATTCACACAACAATTTGTATTTTGTTTCAATGAATGCAAGGTGTTTTTTGATTGGACGGAGTGGAGAGTTTAATGTCACCACCCCTCCTCTCTCCACCTCCTCAGGCCCTTAGTAAGGCTTTTGTGAATTAGGTGCAGACTGATACTGATTGTAGATCACAGTTCAGAGAGGGTCTACAAATGTTCTTCTGAAATGGAACAAATGTTCTGAGACTGCAGCAGAGCTGGTAACCCCTGTAGGCTTGCACCAGGAAGGAACACAGTCCACTGGAACTGTTGACACAAGCATTGTACTGATGATGGCTAATGTTAGCCAATGGATGAGAGTGAGAAGCGTATTGTGATGGACTTGTATTATGTGTGACAACCTGCAGTGCTTTAGCTGTACTAGTAGCTGTCACAGTACAACAGGTCTGCTCTGTCTATCATCTAAGCTACCTGAAGAGAACCTCATATGGGCTCCAGGATCTCCTGGCTCCTGTCACTGGAGCAGGTATCTCTGACTCAACGGCAGTGATACTGGGAGCAGGCTGCCAGGGAGGCTGAATTTTCATCCCTAGCGCCAGATGTTCCAGGATCCTCCTGCCTTCTAGATCTATATGTAGAACAGCCAGAACCCAGACTAAGCCAGGTCAGCTGAGCATGTAGGGACCTACAGGGGGTGTCATTAGGGGGATTAATAAAGTAGAACTGTAGGCAGTTTTTTTGTTTTGTATAAAGCAAGGGAGGGTTATAACCCCTGTCAGATTTTTTTTGCCATCTGTGTTCCATTGGGGAAATTTCCGTTCACTTCCTGTCCCATGGCCAAAACAGGAAGCAAGAGGAAATCCCTGCAAATTAAGGAAATCCATGGGGAATCCCCAGGTCACCAGAACTAGTACCTCCATTGGAAGATTTACCCTCTAGTACTGTTCTGGGGACAACCCAAAATGTGAGATTTAATTTCATTTCACTTTCAACAATAATGGTGAACAGGACAAAGAGAGAGGGTGAATATACCTAATGGGGACACAGGGGGCAATAAAAACTGACAAGTATTCTAATCCATCTCCACTTTATCCAAAACCAAAAAAAACTCCACATTTTTCCTTTAGTTATACTTTAAGCTGAAATCATCTAGTTATATCGGATCAAGTATGCATTGGGAGCTTTCCGGTCCCCATCAGTAACTGTGCTGGGATTGCGAAGGGTGTGCACTTTCAGCACAGAAAACTGTTTACATATATTGCCATTAAAGCCCACTTGCCAAGAAGCCACATATATGCTGACCTCCGGTGGGAAGTGTTAAGAACAGGCTGTACTGAAGTAGAGGCAGAGCTGCGTGGATTGCTGGATAACAACACTTCCAGCCATGCAGCATCTCCTTTCGCCAACAGCTGCTTGAATTGGGATACAAGTTGCTTTGTGTCCATCCTTACAGGCAGCTATCTTGAGTTGTTGCAGTCCAGCAGTCTAAATCAGCTGAACACCTGACCAAAGCCCCTTTTCTGTATTCTACCTGGTTTGCCCATTGTTATTCTTTAAAGGGGGTCTCTGCACCACTGACTGCCATGCTTCAAGACAGTCAAGAGCCCCTTTTCTAAAGTCCAAGGGCTATTTCAAATCCACTCATGCCTACTTCAAACATGAAAAGCAACCCAAAGGCCAACTAGATTAGTATTCATGGCAGACTGACAATGTTGCTGTTACTTGTTGTCAATAATGAATTAATGAATTAAGCAGTGAGGTAGCGTTGTCAGCCTGTAACAGGAAGTGCTGTTTGTTGGGTAGGTTCAGTGTGGTGAGGTGCAGTAAACACGCAGGCCTGGATTGTCAGAAATCATGTATTGCAATTTTTATAAAACAGTACAACAAACTCAGCGGGAGTAGGCCAGAGCAAAGGAAAGCACCTGCCAAGGGGAGTGGAGTGGGGCCTGGCCGGGGCAATCCACAGGGGAGCTTTCTACAGAAGAAAATGTAGGCCCTACTCTTTCCTTGCTCCTCAGGAGCCTCTCTCTCCATTAATGCTATCCCTGACAGACAGGTATCCTGTGTCTACACTAGGCACTTGCACAAAGTGCACCATAACCAGGGGGCAGAGACTAGAAAAGACTCTGTATGACCCAAGATGGCTGCCAGAGTTACCTGGATCCAGCACATTCAACAAGATTGCTGCGCCAGAGGACTCAGGAAACCATAGAGAAATCCAGTTTCTCACAATTTCCTCCTGCAGTTGTAATGCCTCTTCGGACGAGCGCCACCTGCAGTGGAGACTATAGACCTCACCTGCCTACATGTTACTAGCAGCATCTCTGGGTAATAAGCATTTCAACAGATTTACAAAAACTGATTTAAGAAAATGTTTTGTAGTGAGGTGCTATGCCAAGCATACTAAAAAAAATTGATTTAGGGTATTCATACACTTTAATTTATGGTATTCATACACTTTAAAGTGATTGTAATCCCTCCCCTTGTAAAATAACCAATTCAGTTTCAAATACAAATGAAAGGCAAAACAATGTGTATAGATATAAAAAGCATTATATACATCTTTTTTTCCCTTTTTTTGGAAGTGATCATATAGCTTCTGTTCTCAGCTGCATAAAAGCTGGGGGAGGAGAAACAGCAGAACACTAATCTTACCAGTGAATGGCTGTGCAGGGGAGCATATCAGGACAAGTCTGATCATTAGAAGAGAGCAGGCTGAGGTCCCAGCAAAACTATAGAACTTGCAACACTGTCCTCTCCCGCTTAGTGTGGTCAGTTTTTAATAGGAAAGCAGACAGACTGGCGGGAACACCAGGGATTTCACACAAAGGAAGCAATACAAAAAGAACAAAATACTTTTTCATACAAGTACATGGCACAGCAGGCACATATCAGGAATATGAAATGTTGGGTTTCCATATGCTTTATTTCACATTGTGTTGCTTTAGCAGTCTGCACATCTAATCTCACCTGGCTGTACATAGGCTCTCCTGGTATTGAGGTTTTCAGAGAGGGCCTGATGGCAGAACTGCAATATAATTCCTCTATAAGGATGGAGTCACGATGGGAAAAAGTAATTGTTCTGTATGCTGCAATGCTCTTCTTTGTTCATCTAAAGAGAAGACATAGATCCATTGTCTTTACATGTGTAATGTATGAAAATGCAGGCTGAGAGTAATGGATATAATGGCGGACGTAACAGAGCTAAAAAAATATAACAGTCATATTTAGTTACCAAGTGAAGACGACACAAAATATTTCATATTACTAATCCGGACATGGCCTGTCATAGGAAGTGGCATAAATATACAGTAAATGTCATTCAGGAAAAATAACCTATCAAGATGGATGGTGTAAATGAGCACCATGGAAAGGTAGATGCTCATATACACACTATCCATCTAGTTTTTTTATTTGCTGTCTTTGCGTTTACT